TATGTCAATCAATGGAAGGGTAACTGATGTGATACAGCAATCTGTATACGGGATAAAATTGGGAGTTCATAACTCATTTGAATCAAACTGTGAAATATGATGTATGAGGAACTATGTAATGTTTTGAACGACCAACAATAAAAAAAAAAAAAAAAAAAGAAAGGCATGGAAGTGGTGCACTCCTGTAATCCCAGTGACCCAGGCCACTGAGGCAGGATGATCACAAGTTCAAGATCAGGCTGGACAATTTAATGAGACCTCGTTTCAAAATAAAATAAAATAAATAAATTAAAAGGGCAGGGAAGGTAGCTTAGTGGCAAAGTACCCCTGGGTTCAGTCCTCAGTTCTAGAGAAAAAATTCAGATAGATTTAGGAAAGGAGAAATTGTTAAGTAAATTCTCAGATTACTTCAAAAAATAAAAAAAGAAAGGCATGGAAATGATTAAAAAAAAAAAAACACCACACTCCTGGTAGAGAAAAAGAATCACACACAGGGGTACCAAGAGGCCTTTGTCATCTTTATAAAGTGAACAGCCTATTCTAATCAAGTTGGAAATAGTATTACCATTGTCAACACTGGAAGGCCAAGCTCCGGGACAGAATTCCTATTAGTGGCTCTCCTTTGAGATCCATGAGCTACTCAGAGAATGCACTGTCCAATCCTAGCCATCTATCTCAAACAATTACCCCCTGATCTATATCTGGGCTCCTGTGAAAGGGAGTGATTTCTTTAGAACAAACTCATGAGCACAACTATCAAAACTCAACCAACCAAACAAACAAACAAACAAAAAAACCCACTTCAAACTGAGTCATCCAAGTTCAAGTTGGGAGAAGGAAATAGCAATGTCTTTGCATAGGAAAAAACACTGTTTCACTGAGCAAGTCAGAGTGCATGTTCTACCAGAGGAGAACTGAGTGTTTCATCTTTGCAAAAGGGTTACTGAGTCTAGTGAACGTCATAAAATGAGAATGGAACAAAGAACTTCCACTCCAACGGAACATAGAATCAACAGAGATTTCCAGAGGCACAATTATATTCATGAAGCTATTCTTTTCTACCCAACAAACATCTGTACTTAATTCTGGACTTCATCACCCCAAAACCCGTTGTCCCTTCATTCTTTCCATCTCAGCAAGTGCTATTTGTCTCCATCCAGATACTCAAGCCAAAAATATAGATGCCATCCCTGGTTCCTTTCTGTTCCTCATCCAGCAACATCCAACTCATTGGCCAATCCTATAAGCTGTACTTTCAAAACATATTCTAAGTCCTTCCTCTTCTCTCCAATTCCACAACCCTACACTTGTCAAAATCACCAGCATCTGTCACCTGGACCACTGAAAAAGCCTCTGGATTCGTCTTCCTGTCTCCACTCTCAGCCTCCTATCATCCATTCTTCCCAGAGTAACCAGTTGACATACATCATTTTCTTCACTCCTACTGGAGACATTCCACTGTGGCTTCTCTTGCAAGTAAAATGAACTCAGAACTTTTCACTGGTGAATCTGAGGCCTTATGTGATTTTCCCTCCCCAGCCTCTCCAACTTCATCTTCTATCACTCCACCAAAGCCTTGCCCTGACGCTCCCAGAGACACCAGGAAGGTTCTCCCTCAGTCCTTTATTCATGTTTTCTATGTCTAAATGTCAACTCTCTGAAAAACTTTCCTTTACTCAAGTTTCATTTTAATGTCACCTCCTCAGAACAGCCTTCTCTAACCATCCAAACTGTAACCCGGAACTCCATAATCCTACATTCTTCAGAGCAGCCTAATCTAAAATGATTGCTTTTTTAAAATTTTTTCCTCTGAATACTATCTTCCATATTCAGTGCAAACTCTGGGAGGGCAGGGATCTCATCCAGTCTCTTTACCTATGAATCCCTGGTCGGGGACATCAAAAGACATTCACTAAACATTTGCAAATGAATAAATGAATGAACAGGTATTAAATTAAACAGCTGGTAAATTCAATCCAAACAACTCTTTTCAAAAAGAATTCATGCACTCGGTAATAAAAAATTTTTTAAAAAAGAATTTCTGGTTGACATCTGATAGACACACGGTGCCATAATAAAAACTAACAACTACAGAGCCAGAAGAAAGAGATCAAGTAATGATGACCTACTATTATTTACTTGGTAAGAAAGAGTGACTGAGCAAGGCTCTGGGTTAGATCCCCAGCACTACCAAGGGTGTGGGGAAGAAGAGGAGGATGAGAAGCAGAAGAAGAAGAAGAAGAAAAAGAAATAATTACTGAGTTCTGAATACACTCCAAGCACTCAGGTGGTGCTGACAGTACAGAAATGAACAAAGAAACATGGTCTCCACCCTCAGTATAGCTTTGTATTTAATATAGAAATTTCCCTGGTTGAACAGATTGCTGAAATGCAAAGTTAACCATACAATTCTATATGAGCCAAAACTGTAACTCTGACTGCATTATGAAATACAATGAACTTTTATGGAGCAGGTAGCAAGCACAACATTGCAATGGATTACTCTTGATTCTACTCACTTTTATAGAAGAAAAGGAGACATCAAAACATTTAGAACTACACATAGAGAGAGAGAAGAAAACTCCCATCCCCCATCAATACACAAGCTACTACTCATCATCTGCAAAATCAAGAACTGTCTGTAAGATTTTTTTAAAATCAAAGAATCTCACAATGCTCTCTTCAGAACTATCTACCAGTTATAAGATAATTTCTTATTTCATAGTAGGTAAATAATTAATGGTAAAAATAACACCACACAAAAAAAATCATGAACAGTATCCCTCTGATATATTAGGTTATCCTACCTCAATAACACAGCTTTATAAAATAAGCCTATAAAACCATCAGTCTGTGATCCAGGGGTTAAGAAAATGAGATCCAAGATTCTAAGGCTATCAGATCCAAGTATAGCATCCAACCAAAATAGTCTAAAAATATATGTATATACACATATCATGTAAAATTCTATTTTAAAATGTTTAATTACTTACCCCTTTGCCCAATTTCCTCTCATAGGCTTTATGTCGTAGTCCTAATCCCAACAACCCCAAGCCAACAAGCAGCCACAAAACTAAATAGAAAGAAGAAATGATTATCTAAAAGAAACTAAATTATCTTCTTTCAAGTCATTCTTTTTCAAAATTCCTGATTCTATTGGCCAACGAGTTTGTGTGAATGTCTCTTTCTTGGGTTCATTTTCATGCATGACATGCATACATAATCCACACTTTACATTCAGGTTTCAAAGAATATTCCCTAAACATGTTCCAAGGACCAAGAGCCTAAAGTAACAGTAAGTCATAAAATCTACACAAAAACAAGTCTACACAAGCAGAAACCAACAGGAAAAGACATAGTGCAGAATCAACCCCACAAAGACTTCTGATACTGGAACATTCAGAATCAGAATATGGAACAAGTATGCTCAACATGATTAGAAAATAAAAGAGGGCATTCCAAAGTATGACTAAAGAACATGAGACTAAAATAAGCAAGGAGGAAAATTTATAAAATAAAATCAAATAGACTTCTAGAAACAAAAATATATAATTATAATAACTGAAATCAGAAATTATGGACAAGATAAAGAGCATTTTAGACAAAGTTGAATAGAGAATTAGTGTAAAGGGCAGCACAGAAACAGAGGTAGAAAAAAGCAAAGTGGTTACAAGACCTGGAGAACAGAAGAAGGTCAAACACGTAACCAACTGGAGTTGGAAAGGAATGAGGAGAAAGAATGGGGAAGAGTCAATATTTGCAGAAATAATGCTGAAAATTTTCCAGAATTGATAAGAGACATGGCTCTTTAGATTCATAAAACCCAAAGACTTCCAAGCTAGATGGAGAAAAAATCCACATCCAGATATATCATAGTGAAATTGTGGAATACCAACACAGAGAAGAAGATTAAGGGCTGCCAGACACCAAAGACTGATTATTTCCAAAGGCGCAATAGTTACAGCAACAGATTGCCTATCGATAGCAAAAGTCAAACCACAAAGCAGTAATATTTTCAATGTGGTGAGACAAAAATAATGAACCACTTAAAAATAGAAATTGAAGATATAATTTCTAAACTAGAAAGAGGTGTGGTGGTGCTTGCCTGTAATCCCAGCAGCTCAGGAGGCTGATGCAGGAGGATCTTAAGCTCAAGGCCAGCCTCGGCAACTTCATAAGGTCCTAAGAAACTTAGTGAGACCGTTTCTCAAAATAAAACTAAAAGAGCTGGGGGGGGGGGCTCAGTGATTAAGTGTCCCTGCGTTTAATCTTTGGAGAAGAAGGAGGAGGTGAGGGGAGGAGAAGGAGGAGGAGAAGGAAGAGGAGAAAGAAAAAAGGGAGAAATGGAGGGGAAAAAAGAAAGGGGAGAGGAGGGAGGGTGGAAGTGAAAGGAGAGGTGTGAACAAAAAACAAAAACCTAATTGATACAAAAGACATCAAGAAGGAGAAAAATGTACCTGTGAAAGTGGAAAGTGAAAAGACAAAGTAAGATGATAGAAAGAAATTATAACACTAGAAAAATAGATTAAATTCAAATCAAAAGACAAAGTTTGGCTTTCTGGAAAAGGAAAAAAATAAAGGGAAACAGTTAAAAGTTCAGAGGTTGCCAGGAGTATTTATTTTTTTTGGTGGGGGGGAGAGGGGTAAACAAGTAGAGCACAGGGGGTGCTTGGGGCAGCAGAACTCTTGGGAATGATGTTCTAATAGCAAATGCATGTTACACGTTTTCAAGGCCTACAAAATGCACAGCACCAGGAGTAAACCCTAATGTAACCTATAGACTTTGAGTGATTGGGGATGTGTTGACATAGCATTAAATATGACAAATCTATCACTCTGGTTAGTAATTTTGATAGTTGGAATGGTTTATGTGTGCAGAGGCAGAGTACATGAGAATTCTCTGAACCTTCCACTCAATTTGGCTATAACTGCTCTAAAAAAAAAAAAAAAAAAAAAAAACCAAAGTCTATTTTGTAAAAACTCTAAGTAAATTTTTTCAAATGCCTGAATTTAATGAATGACTAAAATAATTATAGTTCTTAACCAAAAAAATTACAAACAAAACTGCCAGATTCTGGTTTTAAGGGACACACCAAAACGTAACAACGTACACACACAAAAATTCACCTCCCCTAAATTCAAATATAATATTTTCAAATGATGATGAAATATACACAAAGGTTTTTAAAGAGTCTCACTACTTTGTGAAATAAATTTTAGAGATGTTTTGAAAATCTATGTAGCTTATTGTTTTCTCTCTATATTGTAGTGTTTTGTACCTTTTAGTAAATTATCAAGTCCTTGAGAGTAGAGACCATTATTCATGTCTTTGTAGCCTACATGATATTCAATAAATATTATTTAATCCAATCCATTTTAAATAAGGCAGATATTAGACAGTGTCTAGTTCATCAACATTCCAAATATTAACATATTTAATCTCCCCAAAAGGAGAACAAAAAAATGGAGAAAATAGAGTCAACTATTACAACACAGCATTTTGAACATTGTACCTGTTAAACCATATTATATATGTTAGAGGTGAAATAAAGCTAGTAAATAGTATTTATGGTTGAAATGAGATATCAGAAACTTGCATTAAATTCTTGAAAGAAAGTGGGAAATTGCTATTAACATCATTAGTAAAATATTGCCAGTTGTTGAAGCTAGGTGAAGGGTACATGAGGCTTCATTACATGCTCTAATTTTATGACTGAAAATTTGTATAATAAACATTTTTTAAAAGAATGTGAAATCATACTTACAAAGCATCATGTATTTCTCACTCTTTCTGAAAAGCATTTTAGGACTGTTTTTGGTTTGAAGAAGAAAATCAAGGTTTTTCTTAGGACCAAATAACATATTCAGCCCAATAATGAACATCACGGTCCCTGTATAAAAGAAAAAGAATATATCAAAGATTAATGTGAAAAATCCTTCCAATGGTAAATTCCAGGAAACAAAATTTCTTTTAAAAGAACATATCATGGAAATTCAGGTACTGCATAAATTTATCTCAGTGCCTAAGTGATTATTCTAGCAGTGCTCTCATGAATAGGGACAACCTTAATAAATCAGGTAGAGTTCTAGGAATCAAGCTGTATATGAGAGGACCCAGCCTCTTCCTGATGAGAGATGGCCTTGAATTTCCCATTTCCTAGTTGCTGGGTTGCTGATGATGCTTATTACTGACTATTGACTGGGTAGGAACAGAGAAACCCAAGGAAAAGGACCTTCTGAGCAGCTATAAGGGCTCAATTGAGTATTTGCATACACCAAGCTGAGAAGCACAGTGAAGCATACGCAGGATCTTAACACAGCAGTGCTGCAGTGATAATTCTGCCCTGGGATGTGGGCACTCCCGCACAGGGTCCTACTGAGGATACAGGCCAGAATTCACAGTAGGACAATGACAGGCCAAAAAAGTTGAGCTACTTTGAGATGCACTACAAGTAGCTTACATAAAAGTGTGCGTGATTCTAAAATCATATATAGTATGAATGCACATAGAGATATGGCACAAAATGTAAATGTCAAGTAAGGAAATGTCAAGTAAGAGTTAAGCTTAGAGGAAAGGCTAGCAAAAAAAAAAAAAAAGTTATGTTCAATGTTTGCGGAAACAGCAAGCAAAACCCAGAAAATAAATGTATACTAATTTTGGATATGATACAAATTCTTTTCAGTTGTATTAAAAATGACTCTGAACATTATCATTGTTCCTTGATTTTTGTGGTCTCACCAATATAATGTAACTCTTACCAAAAAGACCTTAGTTGTATGAAGTTGTAATAAGAAGTTTTCTGTAAGTCCATGTGGGAAGAAGAAACCCAAAAGCTAATCAGTCACAATATTCTAAAGAGACAAATTTAGGCACAGAATGGCTCTTACTTTCTCATTCTCTCCACCTGGCAGACCCCTAAGCAAGTTGGAGTAAGAGAAAAGCAGGGCATTGGGCAGGAAAACAGAGCAGGACAGAGTACAACCACCTGGAAGAAACCAGAGAAATACAAAGTTCACAAAGCCAAGGTCACCACAGGATAAATGCAGCAATGTGTGTCCCTAATATGAGGGGAGCTGGGGCATTAACCAGAAATATCAAATTCTCAAAGGCTGTTTCTAAAATACAGCATGTTGCTTAATAACAAATCTCCCACAGTAGCCTGTCCTGACAGACGTCTAGTTTGTCGGGTAGGAAAGCTTCTGTCAAGAAGTACAGAGGAACTGGACGTAAATCCAGGGCACCAAGAAGGACAGCGACAGAACATGGCAGAAGCCACCCCTCCGGTGCAACACTCGTCCCACAGAATATTCACAACATTTATCTCATTCATCTGCAGTGTCTGCCCACTGGACCAAAGTCCCAGGTAGGCAGGGACACAGGTGTTTTCATCTCCAGCACCTGGCATTGTATCAGGAATATGGTTGGTGCATGAATTAACTCATTTTTTTTGTTTAATGAACAAGGGAACAAATGGAAAAATGAATGTACGAATAAATAAGGAAGGACTGGCTCCCCATCCCCTCATTTTCTAATATTTTATTGTGGGCAAACTTGATATGTTTTACTTTAACTTTAAAATGATCAGCAACATTTAATTTGTGTATACCTGGTATACATCAGTAATTTTATTATTGCCAGATACAATTTTTAAGATATTAAACTGAACAACTGGGTGCAGTGGCACATGTCTGTAATCCCTGTGGCTGGGAAGGCTGAAGCAGGAGGAACTAGAGTTGAAAGCTAGCCTTAGCAATGGCTAGATGCTAAGTAAGTCAGGGAGACCTATCTCTAAATAAAATACAAAATAGGGCTGGGGATGTGGCTCAGTGGTTGAGTGCCCCTGAATTCAATTCCCAGTACCAAAAAAAAAAAAAAGATATTACACTGAACTAAGCTTGTGAGATTTTAATTTTGGCATGTGAGTTCATAACCACAGAAATGGGAAATGCATTTAATGCATGATCTTGGAATTACTATTTATACTAAGATAAATTTAAATATATATATATATATATATATATATATACATATATATATATACACATATATACATACATATGTTTGTATATTAGTAGTAAAAATCTGGTAAATAATATTCAGGATAACTAAAAAAAAATCACAATTCCTAGGTATATCTATGAGCCTTCTATTGAAGCAATTGAGCATCGTAATCATACCTTTTCCTAATACTTTATTATGTATTAAATGTGTTTCCCAACAACTCATTTAAGTGGCGTTCAGAATAATAAATGTTACTGAAATGTACTAATGACTTAAGAAATTTGCTTTTAATTTAAGATTCAGACATATTTCTAGGTTTTGTTTTTGCCAAGAGAATCGATTTTACTAAGACAGGAAGATCATCCTATTTGTTTTCACCAGTCCTGTTAAGTGCTAAATCCTGGCAAGTCCTCAGGGATATCTTCCAGCAGATCCTGTAATCCAAAACTTTTAAATGCACTCACCCAAAAGCACATCAGATCTTTCTCTAGCGTAAACGCCTCCTGGGACAAACTTAAAGGCTGTGCACCATGCACAGAAAAATATGTCTAGAACATAAACCACCATGGCAACAGTCATGGTTTCTCCAGGGCTCATCCCCGAGCTAACCAGGTGTTTTAGCACTTGAGGCCACATGGACCCAGCGAAGATGGCCAGCACACAGCCAGAAACAGCAGCTGCCCACGTGGACAGGTAAAGGAGACCCGCAGCTGAAGCCGTTCCTGTGTGTGAGAGAAAAGAGGAAAGCGTGAGTCAGATGGGAAGGCAATGAAGCGCTAGGATGATCCATTTATAGCCTTTTAGAGGCAGAAGGGACCTTAAGGGTATCCTGCTTCAATCTCCAGACAGATGAGAAACAAGATCCAGCAAGGTTAATGTCATTTGTTCAAGGTCGCACATCAGTTACCCATATGACTGGAGGTGGAATGGGTCTAGTAAGTTTCAGTCCAGTGCTATTTCTTCCAGAAAAGCAGGGGAGAAGAGGAGAAATAAATAATTGGTGTTAAGATTCTACCATCAATAAAAACTAAAATTATCCGCAATACCAAAAATATGTTCATTAAATTTAACCAACCAGATATAGGAAAGTCAAAAACATGTACAGTTGGGAGCCAGGGTTGTGGCTCAGTGGTAGAGCACTTGCCTAGCATGCGGGAGGCATTGGGTTTGATACCTGGTCCTACATACATACATACATACATACATACATACATACATAAATGGTATTTAAAAAAGAAAACACGTACAGTTATTTGATTTCTAGAACATTTTTGTTGAGCCACCTTCTAAAGGAATTTCTACCTATCTAAATGCTATACTTTGTCCTATAATATGTACACAGGCTTTTCCAATTACACAGCATCAAAAGAAGACGTGAGTTAGTGATGTAGCAACTTTGCAGTCTGTTCATTTATTATCCAACTCTCATGGCAATACAATGGTTCATGGCTTTCCCCAGGTTTGTCCCTGAGTTAAAAGGTGTTAAGGGTTGGGCATTGTGCTTGGTTCACAACAGGCACTTAGCAAATATTAGTCTGTTGAACCAATAGTGAGGTCATATAACATCTCACCCAATTCCTGTAAAATCAGTTTTGAAACAGCACTTTAGGTCTACCTCACTGTGGAACCACTGACACAAGATCTTCTCATAGACAATACAGCATTTTTGAAACGATTCAATCACTATTGTATACCTGGGACCCATCTTTCAATGCATCTACAACAGGCTCTTCACTGCTCAGGGTAGTAAGTAACTCCAGGAACAGGAGTAGAGAGCAGAAAGTGACTCCAGATAGCTTCTTTAAAAAAAAAAAAAAACAAAAAAAAAGAACTACAAAAAGAAAAAAAAAAAACCCACAGGGCTGGAGATGTGGCTCAAGGGGTAGCGCGCTCGCCCGGCATGCGTGCGGCCCGGGTTCCATCCTCAGCACCACATACCAACAAAGATGTTGTGTCCACCGAAAACTAAAAAATAAATATTAAAAAAATTCTCTCTCTCTCTCTCTCTCTCTCTCTTAAAAAAACCCACTTTTATTTATTTATTTTTTAAATTTTTTCGATTAGACAAAATATCTATATTTTATTAGTTTATCTTTATGTGGTGCTGAGGATTGAACCCAGTGCCTCATGCACACTAGGCAAGCACTCTACCACTGAGCTACAGCCTCAACCCCTCCAGATAGCTTCTTAATGTTCCATGGCTCACCTCCATCAACAAGTTCCACTGGCACCATCACAGGACAGTACTGTGTGGCTGTCAGTTTATCCTCACTTTAAAAAGGAACCTCACTCAGATGTCCATGAGAGCCAGATTCCAGGGTCCTCTACAATTCATGGAGCTTAACTCCATGGTGAGACCATCAAATACTTCAAATATACTCTACAATGGTGATTTTTCATTTTGAAATAAAACAACTATAATGCCTAGTTGCTACAGAAATTTGTAAAATTCAGAACTACAAAGAAGCAGTTTAGGGTTACCTAAGACTGAGATGACCACGGCCAATACTTCCATGTCTTTCTCCTCAGTGTTTTCCTATGGGTCTAGAGAAGTAAATAAATGGAATTGTACCTGCCCTTTCCCCTACTTCCTCTCCCAAGAAGTTCACTCTTCCTCATTATGTATTTATTTTGCAGGTTCTTTAAAAGTGACTTTGGTCCCCATGGGTCCAAGGATGATGCACGACCGTAAGGAGGAAGTGATGAAATTGGTAGAGGCAACAATTTTACATAAATGGAAGTGTACATGACATTAAGGATTAAATGCTGCTTTTTATGATTTTCTCGTGTTATTAATTTTTCTAAAACACTTTTATGCGTATGTAATACTCCCCTGGATAAATATACCACCAAATATGTAAACATTGTCCTATCAGCCATTTGTGAACTTTCCAGTGTCAAGGATTTAAAAACAACATTGTGATGACTATCTTTCTCTGACAACAAATCTCTTATCACATCTCTGATTATGTCCATAAAACAAATTCCTAGCAGTACAACCTGCATCAAAGGGCAGAAGCATTTTAAAGCTGTTGTCATGAACAATTGCTGCCCTGAAGGTTGTATCAGGCCTTAGAACTTCCAGAAAACTTGCTAAAATGTCCACTCCTTTCAAACTCTGCCAAAATTATTTCTTTCTAAAATTCTTTACCAAATTTATGATGAAAATAGTATGATGATTTATATTGCTCCTGCCTAATTATTAGTGAGATTGAATTTTTCCTGTTTACTAGTTTTCAATGCCTATTATCTGTTAGTTTGTTTGTTTGGTATCAGGGATCGAACCCAGGGGTACTTAACCACTGAGCCACATCTCCAATCCTTTCTATATTTTATTTTGACACAGAATCTCGCTAAGATGCTCGGGGCCTTGCTAAGTTGCTGATGCTGGCATTGAGTTTGAGATCCTCCTGCCTTAGTCTCCCAAGTCACTGGGATTATAGGCATGTGCCACCGCACCTGGTTTCAATGTTTATTAAAAAAAAAAAAAATGAGTGCTAACTTGGTATTCGGGTCTAAAGATGTTAGAATGACTTGGTCATCTGTCTTACTGCAAAGAATTATTAAATTTTTCTTGACTGTTATTGCTTTTATTTTTAATTTAGTTTCTATCTTAAAATAGGTTTTATAGTTTTAATCAACTAAAATTGTATTTTTAAGTTCAAGAAGAAATGATACAAAAAAAAAATGGGACATCTGACCCATCACCTACTACTTTTCCTTAGGGAGGGCAACCAATGTTAGCGTTTACTTCTACACCTTTCCAGAGATGTTCAAGGCAGACAAAGAAGTGCATAGGCATGTCTATTCCCCTTCCTTTTTGCACACTAGTGGTAAAACACAACACACACCATTAGTCATTTTTTGCCTTTTGCACTTAACTGTATGTATATCCTAACTTGTTTGAGACTAAGCCCTTCCAAATAATCCTTCCCAAATCTTTACATCCAAGACATCAAGCAGAATTAGCAGTAATAGATACTCTAATAATGTTAATTTTCAACAGATTGAGTTTTTCATACAAGAGAGTTACATGCACACTGTGGAGTGCACCAGGACCTGATCAGTGCACTTACTACATCTATGCATTTTTCCTAACATAACTATTAATTATTTTGTTAATTTAATTGAAAGCTCCTGTATCTTTGCTTTTATGAAGTTCTTTGGTCCCCACCATAATTAATGTCATGCCAAGTCCTCAGCTGGATTGTAAACTTAAATGTATGTTGGGAAAATACGATTCATTTCACTACATTCTGTTTTATCATGTGGTTTTTAAAGATGAATCACAATGAAAATGGGCACCACCTTAGATAATTCAGTGTAATCTCCTACTTATTTCAGGTGAACAGGTGATCAGAAAGGGAGATGAAGCTCATGGATTACAGCCCTGGTTTCCTAAACTTAAAATAGCCTGTGGCTAGAGGCCTTAAATCTGCTTGCCTTTGGAGTCTTTAAAACTACTATTTAATATTATAGAGAGACAGCAAAACTAGATTAGGTTTGGCTCTCAAAGATATGATCTTACTTGTCTGGGGAAATAAGGGTAAGACTATATATTCACAGTTTTTCTGTTCTTTATGTTTTTGTGTCCCTTTGTTGTCCCAGGTTCAAAACAAAGCTGCTACCTATCTACCTGCACAATAAACACTTTGCTTACATTTTATTTATTTTTTTAAAGGCATGCTTTAAACGCTGAACAAACTTTTGAAGCGTTTCAATCTCCTTTTTCAAGTTGCATATAGATTAAGAATTTAGGGCTGGGATATAACTCAGCTTATAGAATGCTTGCCTTGCATGCACAAGGCCCTGGGTTCAATCCCCAGCACCACACACACACAAAAGAAAAAAAAGGAAAGAAAGAAAGAAAAAGATTAAGAAATTAAATATGTTCATTGCAAACTCAGTATTCACAAAGTTATCTGGCCCTCTTCCTCAGGAATCCCATGTAGCAGCTCTTTGAGGAGAAGGTTCCACCTACATACACACCCACTTCCAGAGTCCAAATGGAATGTCTACCAGAAAACACACCAGCAAGTACAAACAGCTCCACATGACTGCAACTGTGCTCATTCAGCTCCAGGAGGAAGAGGACCTGGCCAACCCCATTAAGTTAGCACCCCTTTTTGATTACACTTACATTTCCATGTAAGGCTGACGGTGGGTACTGTGACATGCAGAAATTACGGTATTTCTCATTCCACATTTTCTATTACTGATACAGTCTCACAGTATCAAGGGCAATACCATGAATTGCCTGTTTAATGAATATGTAAAAAAAAAACATCTCACAGAAAGCCAATATAGTATTCGCTCTCTAAAAGAGTGGGAGATGTTTACTTAATGCCAACAACTTAAGTGGAAGGAGGAGGAGTGGCATCATTCAATCACAGGAACATAATGCAATGCTCCCTCATGTTCACAAGGACTAAAAGGATAGTGGGAGAGGGCCACCAACACTGATTATTGTCTTCTTTTACTGTGGTCAACCAAGTAGTTTGTGAAGTGTATTTGGTGGAGATGGTATAGAGGATCAAACCCAGAGTGACCTTTTTTTATGTTTAAATTAAATTTATTAGTATTTCCCTGTTTTTTATTAACTGTTTTAAATTTTATTTGTTCATCTGTTTAATTTTTTTGTGGCACGTACCAGTACAACAGTCTTCATTAATATTTCTGGAATCATAAAGGGTGTGACTGGGAAGAAATGGCCTGGGTCTTTGAAAAAGACCATACATGACCCCAAAGATGGGTTAGAAGAATGGGGAACAAAACTGTCACATGGAAAAGAGAAAAGGAAATGGAACTTCACTATGGAATCTCAAAAAAGTCTGGAGGGGGGGGGAGATTTCTAAGAAAACAAAGAAGCAAGCAAAATTAGAGGGCAAGAGATCTAGCACTTAGCAACTGGTGATATATATAATCCTTCATTGCCTCAAAAAATGTGCTACGTGCATTTGGGTGTTGTATAGGCATTTTGAAGGGAGGTAGTTATGGCAATGCTGCTTGGGCAGGGATGGGACAGGTGAAGTGAAGTGGAGTAGGAAGAATCAGGAACCTAGAGCAGGTAGTCACTGGAGACCTTGGTGACACCTGGGTTATAGTTGTCTTGACTGGTTGTAACAAGCCATTTGGCCACAGTACATATCGCGTGGCGGCATCTTCCTTCCGTCTGCTTGCACAGGCTTTACAAATAAACTGCATAACCAGGCTCAATAGGGGCATATTTGCAGGTGAATCCCACATACCTGTAACCCACCAGATGAAACCAGAATTAGGAAACCACGAACAAGCTGAGAGCGTCAGTCCACTTGCCAGGCTCAGCAGAACTGCACCTCTGTAAAAAAAAGAAAGAAAATGCTAGAAGACATTTCATGCTACTAATATGTCATTGTTTCAATTACAAAACTGAAATATACCTGCTACCTCTAGGTACATCCAAGAGGTAATTCAAGTCTGAAACAACCAATGGGCAACGAGAGCCCACTGGGAGACAACATTATATGCCTGAGGCATACTGAAGTCATAAAAACTCTGACTTCAGAGAAATGGCATTTGTGGTCTTTCATAGTCGAGGTAAACACAATAATAAAGTTTTCTCATAAATTAGAGTCTATACTGGTCATGTGACATTTTAAATGACTCTGCCAAAGACCAAAAGAAAAAAACAATCGTTGGCAATAGTTCCTATGTCATTTGTCATTTTTCTTTCTTTTCTCCACCTCAGTACTACAGTTGGTGCATTCCTGACGCCAGTGTCAGTTTGATCAATAACTAACAGTGATGTGATTTTTGAAACAGTCACAAACTATTTCATTCTTTTTCCACTTTGGCAAAACATTGGAGGAGAGGGAAAAAAAAAAAGAATTTAATTCAATTAGGGAGATATCCAGAAGCAAGAATAGCTATAATACAGCACTCGATTAAGTAGCTATAATATAAATTAAGCTAAAAATAGTACTTAATACACACTAAGCGCCATTTTAAGATTTTTATCTGTGTTATTATTCAATTAATCTTCGCAGGTCTGTAAGGCAATTGTTACTATTATGTCCATCTGGCTGAGAGAGCGTTTTGCCATCAGGCACTGAGGTCTCTCTACCATATGCCCGTTACTGCAACAGAGGGGTCTGGGGGAAATGGGCAGCAATGCTGTCCCTTCCCTGCCACGGAGGAGACTCTTTGGCATGGGGATTTCCTGAAGTGGCTGTGCAGAAGCTGTGGGAACCTCTCAGGCACAGCCTTCCCTCTCCCCTTGTCTGTTTTGCCCCAGCCCTTCAGTACAGGGGAAATACCCTCTGGCTCCTCATCTCCAGCGTTCATGATTATTTCAGATGACATCTCTGACATCTAGGGAGAATGGATATGAAACAGCAGGCTAGCAAAGGAGAACTGTCTTCAGACAGCCAGGACTGCCATGTTCTTGACTGGCTTCCAAACCCAAACTCACCCAAATGGGTTCGGATGTGGCCCTGGGTGGGGATGACCACTCACTGCCCATCTGGAAACAAGTGAGACCTCTCCAAAGACCCAGTGAGTGACGAACAGGAGGCTACCAAAGGCAGCGCCGGCCAGCAGCTGGGTGGGTCTAGACGGCACGCCTCTGGCCCCCTCACCCGTCTTCTTCCCCTCGGGTTTGCTGCAGTCACCATCTACAAGATTTTTAAAGAAATGAAAAAGGGCCCGTTATATGGAAATATACCCTCTCTACTTAACAGACTTTCAACCAGGAGGAAAGGGTGTCTGGCTTTAAGAGGCTTTCTCTAGAAGGGGAGGTGAGACATGCAACCATGATACAAGGCAGAAGGCGTGCTGCTGTTCTGGCAGAGATGATTTCTGGCAGGCTAGATAAGGAAGGGTTTAGGGACAACAGATATTTTGGAATTTGACAAGTAAAAATGCAGAAAGCTACCGATGTTATAAGAAGTTAACAGATTGAGCAAAAATATACACTGAAAAAGTGAATGACATGTTCAGGAGACAAATGTCATCCAACTGGAGTGAACTTTTCCAGTACATTAGGCTTCTTCCCCCGCAACAGGGAGTGTGTGTGCCCAGAGTTATAAGTGTGCATTGACTGGGCAGTTACTACGTGCCAAATCCTCTCCTGAGCCTTTTAGTAACTCACTCAATCTTTATAACCACTTTATATGAGATTAATATTAATATCCTTTAACAGATTAGAAAAACAGGCCCAGAGAGATCAACTAACTTGTCCAAGATCACACAGGTAGTACTGAGAGACAGAGGCTGGAGTTTAGGCAGTGTGGTTCCTTAATCCTGTCATACAGCCATAATTCATGGTGCTGTCACCAAGAGTCTCCAATTCATCACAGCAAGACCTGCACACACACAAATGTAACAACCGAAGAAAAGACTAGCAGGAGAGTATCTGTACAGGAACAGAGAGTCTAGTGGGCTTTGTGACTGTGAAGCCTCTGCAGGGTAGGAGGCAGTAGGGTCTGCCTAGTAGGCTGGCAGAAGAAAGTGATTCTGGTAAGAATGGGATCAGAGGAAGGAGAAGCAGGCTGAAAGCAAAGGTGATGGGAATGGGGTGGAAGGGGTCAGCTAAGCAGAGAGTCTTCGGAGAAAAGAGTCATCCAAACTGAATTGGCAGTAAGTATGAGTGTGACTCCATCCTTAGGACACAACAACTCTTCAAATTCAACAACAACAACAAAGAGTATATCTGGTATATTCAGAGATCCTGAACAAGCCAGTGAAGATCTGATTTTTGGAAATGGGGGCACAGGACAAATCCAGAGGAAGAGATGGACACCCAGCAAGAGGCAAGAAAGAAGAAAACCCAAGTCAGGGGAGGTAAGCAGTCCCTTGAAGGCCTGATCATTACCTGGTTGTACCTGAGCCATGTGCTTCCGAATTTGCACACCCACACATAAGTGTTTTATGAAATATAAAACATACACTAGGGGACTAGACTGAGCTCTAAATGTTCTAATATTCAAGTCATGTGACTCATTTACTTGCTTAATTTCCCCCATTTTGTTACCTCTGTTTCATGCCGAGACTGGGGCCGGTGGGGAATCAGACAAGCACATTTTGTTCATGCTGAGCCAATACTCTCCACACCTGCGTTAATCTGTGCAGCTTCTCCTTGTATTTACAAAAGAACAGTGTGACTCACTGAGAGTTACACAAAAAGCCAGGAGCAAGTTAATTAGAATCCAGGAGCACTTGTCCTCTCTTTTCAGAAGAATCTCAAGTTGGCCTAGGAAGCAACTCCCAAGCTGTGTATCTGCATATCTCAGACAAAGTCAGCTCCAGTAAAAGCCAGACGATTTGAATAGTGCTCTGAATGTGTAAGATTTGCTTCCTTTTCAAACTTCAGATTTGGTACTTCAGATTCCTGGGTAAAAACCAGGTAGTTGCCACTCCCATAAATCCCAGTAACTTCCCCATTGTACAGTTGTACTGGGGCCAGCATGAAGGTGGAAGATGGAAAATACCAGCAACAGAGGCCAGTCCACAGGAAGAAGAAGAAGGAAGATAGAACGTGACCTGTAGGTATAAGACCTGGTTCTAATCTCTCATTGACTTTGTGGTACATGCCACTGATGGGTTTTTTGTTTTTCCCATCTGTGCTATCAAGAACAGGTATCTTCTGCTGAGATTACAACTTGATGGCTTTGTTAGTTACTATTTCAGAGTGGGGGAAAACAACTGAAATGGAAGTACATTTCCACTCATACTACATTCATATAGAAAAGACAAACTCTGCAGGAGAGTTGAACACATGTTTACCTGTGCCAATGCGATCAAGTGTGGCTATCGTACTTAATGCCAGGATCACTCTGTTGGACAATTGACAACTCCAGATTGGATTTAGTGAAGTATACCATATGCGGAGGACGACAAGAAGAATCTGTCCTAAAATAAATCCCCAGATTCTGTGGTACCTGCAAGTGCAAAAGTATTTTTAAAAACTTCCCAATGGGAATTCAAGGTACTACGTCCATTGTGAATTTGTTTCATAGAATGAGTATCTGAAATTGTCTTGTTGGTAATATGTAGTAATATATTTGACTTAGCCTTTATTTAGCCCATTACCTAGGCAACTTATTATCATTCTTTAGTTCTCAAAACATTACTAGGGCCTTGCATAGTGGAACATGCCTATAATCCCAGCTACTCCTGAGGCTGAGGCAGGAAAATCACAAGTTTAAAGCTAACCTGGGCAACATAGTGAGACTCTATATCAAAAAAAAAGGAGTGGGTATGTTGCTCAGTAGTAACTGGATTTAATTCCTAGTACTAAAAAAAGAAAAATATTACTGGGGCTGCAAGTGTAGCTCTGTGGTAGAGCATGTGCTTAGCATATGTGAGGCCTCAGTTCAATACCAAAAAAGAAAAAAAAAAGTTACTGAGATTGATGGCAAGTTCACATCCTCTTTTATGAAGAGGAGGCAAAGGTCATATGAAAAGTAAAAACTACAACTTGGAACTCCTGGCCCCAAGTTTCCCTTTGGTAACTGTACTTGTTTGTGCACAGATGCATAAGACATGAATCATACCTTTGCAAACCACTTCCTGACCACCAAGTCACGCTGTGCACTATCAGCGAAGAAAACACACCAAGTGCAAGGACCACCAGCCGAAGGATGGCATTTGGAGCCTGGAAGGAGGCTAAGCCGCCTACAAAAGAGTAAGGAGAGCTGAAAATTTCCAGCAAGAATGCATTCCCACTCAGTGATCCACATTCGATAAATGTCAGGTCTGACACCATCTTTACATTCAAGAGAGTTAATCAATAATTACCCATCTTTTAAAATATTTTTAAAATATAATTCACATGTCATACAATTCACCATGTTAGAATACAGAAATCACTAATCTTTAGTGTATCCACAAAGCTATGCAACTATCACCACTAAACTCAGAACATTCACATCACCCCCCCACCAAAATATATATATAAATAAATAAATATAAATATATATGTATGTATATAAATATATGTATGTATATGTAACAGTCACTCCCCCATTCTCTCCATTCCCTCTTCTCCCATGCCCAGCCCCTTAGCAATCACTACTCTTCGGATTTTTCTTATTTGGGGCATTTCATAAATAGAATCATAATATGTGGCCTTTCGTGTCTGACTTCTTTCTCTAAGCATAATGTTTTCAAGGTTCATCTGTGCTGCAGCTTGTATCAGTACTTCACTCCCTTTTATGGCTAAGTAATGTTCCATTACATGGATATACTGCACTTTGTTTATCCATTCACCAGCTGATGGACATTTGGGGGCTCTTATGAATAATGCTACTATAAATATTTTTGTACAAGTTTCTGTGTTAACATATGCTTTCATTTTTTCATGGGTACATGCCAAGCAGTGGAGCTGCTGGGTCATATGATAACTCAGTTTAACATTTTGAGGACCTGCCAAACGGGTTCCCAAACCAGCTGTACCATTTTACATTTCTTCCATTTCTGCCATCGAGACATGAAAGTTCCAAGTTCCCTACCTCCTTGCCAACACTATTATTGTCGGTCTTTTTATTATGGCCATCCCAGTGGGTGAAAATATTTATGATCAAACATAATCTAAGTCAATGCGTAAGAACTAGTTTCATAGTTAATTCTATAGTAATGATCTAAAAATATCTGAGGTACCAGAGGTGAGATTGAATGTAACACTCAGACCTTCTCTGTGGCTATGTAAGAATCCTTTAGGATACTAAAAACAGAGTTTTTCCTGTCCTTATGGAGCATTTGAAGGGAAATCATGGCTGACTGCAGCCTCTGTTTAGCATCAACAATGTTCAGTGGTCACCGGGAAGAATGCCTGGCGGAGAATGGCCTCTTCATCTCAAGTGACTTCCCCTATCACTTTCTTAAATGCAGATCTACTTCCACTCAAAGTGCTAGGTTTTCATGGAGGGAGGAGGCAAAAAGAGAATCATAGCAGGCATCACAATCATATAATAACCACCTGAAACTTATTTATTTTTTTAAGAGAGAGAGAGAGAATTTTTAATATTTATTTTTTAGTTCTCAGCGGACACAACATCTTTGTTGGTATGTGGTGCTGAGGATCGAACCCGGGACACACGCATGCCAGGCGAGCGCTCCAGCTTGAGCCACATCCCCAGCCCCACTTATTTATTCTTATATCCCTGATAGTTACTAGAAGTGACTGAAAAGAACTGAACTTAAGTAATGAAAACCTTTTCCAGCAACTGCTCAGTTGGTGGCTTTGTAGGTGAGCCCACAGGGCCAGTACTGAGCAAAGGCGAAGAAGGACACTAATAAATCACTCCCCTAGAAGCTAACCTGGAATGGAAGGAGAAACTGAATCTTGCAAGGCTGAAACCACAGTGATTCATATAAGGATACTGTGTAAGCCCACAGCAGTTGAAACCAGTTACCGTGTACTCAGTTCAGGGTGGAAAGCTTCATTTCTATTACTTCTGGAGCTGAAAATTTCATGATCTACAAACTCAACATGTCTTTCAATGCCTATGGATGCCGTCTTTGTAAAGGGCACGGTTTCTAGGAGTCTTTCCCACTATTCTTTCTGAGCTGTTTTTAAAAAACAAAAGTTTTGGGGGCTGGGGATGTGGCTCAAGCGGTAGGGCGCTCACCTGGCATGCGTGCGGCCCGGGATCGATCCTCAGCACCACATACCAACAAAGATGTTGTGTCCACCAAAAACTAAAAAATAAATATTAAAATTCTCCCTCTCACTCTCTCTTTAAAAAAAAAAAAAAAAAAGTTTTACACCTTCATTGGGAACCACAGAACTCACTGCACTGTATTCTGCCATCTTCAGGAAATGACAGACAGACAAACATAGCAATGTCCTAGTGATTCCTGGCACTGCTTCTAAAAAAGTCAAATGACTGTTTCTAGACAGAACATATAGCATGATTCATGAACAAATGCCACACACAAATCTCAGAGACACTTACTGAGTTATAACAGGAGCGCAAGAAGACCAGAGCTGTTAGTTATGGGTCCAACCAGCCTGGAGTATGGCATTTTTTTTCCTGTGAAAATCTATTCCCTATAACTCATGTTCTTACTTTTTTTTACCATCAATACTACTCCAAGCTTTCTAAATATTTATTAATATGAAAAAAATCTCAGTTCTTTATGATATCAAGTATACATTTAAATTTTTCACTATTTTTTGGCAATATAATATATTCAAATTCAGAATTCAAAGGGATAGAGTGCAAACTTCCCTCTCCAGTTCTGTCTTTTGGTACCCAATTCTCCACCTGAGTGGCAACTAAAATGCTACCATTTTAAAATCCTTTTGGAGATATGTAATGCATGGTCAACCAAGTAATAAATATATTTTCACCCAAACATTTTTTAATAAGCAGTCTACTGACTAAGCTATATTCTCAGCCCTCATCTGTAATCTTTTTTTTTAAATTTTTTAATTTATTTTTTAGTTTTCGGCGGACACAACATCTTTGTTTGTATGTGGTGCTGAGGATTGAACCCAAGTCACATGCATGCCAGGCGAGCACACTACCGCTTGAACCACATCCCCAGCCCTCACCCAAACATTTTAAAATAAAGGTTAACATTCTATAATAGACACTATTTAAAACAACCCTTTCTGCAAAATATACTTTGAAGAACATCCCACTTCATTACATAAATAATATTCTCTCTTTTGTGCTGCATAGTATTCTGTAGTATTCCAAGTTTCATAACTATAATCCATTTAACCTGTCCTTAGAGAGGACACTTATGTTATTTCTAGCCTTGCTATTATAAATATCCCTGCATTGTTTAAATATCATGTTAAATTTACCATGTGAATTCATCTCTAGGATATATTCTACAAGTGGAACTGCTGATTAAAGGTTATGTACAGATTTGTAATCAGGACAAATACTGCTAAAGTACTCAACATAGAGGTTGTGACAATTTACATGCCCAACAGTGTGGGAGGCCATCCTTGCACGTGATTTGAGTTACCTCCCTGGCTGGGTGAGCGGTGCTTAAACACAGTTGTGTCAGAGCTTTCCTGGTGGGAGGGCTTGTCTGTGCAGAGGCATGTCTGGCCACTGCTCCGAAGACCCAATCGTCACCCCTGACCTTTTGTTCCCCAATAAAAGTCCACTCCATGGCGTGTTCTCTCTCTCTCTCTCTCTCTCTCTCTCTCTCTCTCTCTCTCTCTCTCTCTCTCTCTCTCTCTCCTCTTCTATAAACCTTGCTACCGCATTAGGTGGCTGGAGGTGGTAGCTAGGAGAAGCTGTCCTGGAGCTGGTTTTAAAGGTAATAAGAGTCTTGTCTCTTTAATTTAAAACTCCCTAGCATTCACTCATGAATCGAACCTTCTTTCATGAAGCCAGCGCTGGTCGCATGGCAGACAACAGTAATGCATGAGTGCTTGTTTTCCCACCCTTATGATTCACGACAGTTATACTTTATTCTTGACCAATCCATTTAGGACACTACAGATAAATATGTATGTGCATAATTTATAGTCCATATATTTTATTATACCTTTTAAAACTGATTTTATTTTCTTTCCAGTGACTAGGCATACTTCTGCCCCTTTTCTAGTGAGTTGGTCTTTTTTTTTTTTTTTTTTTAGTCATTGGTTTGTAAAAACTCTCTACATTAGGGAAATTAGTTGAGTAAGAGTTGCAAACAGTTTTTCTATGCTGCTGTTTGCTTGTATGGTATTTATCATGCATAATTTTTGTGTTTCTTATGCAGTATTATTTAAAAATCTTTCCAATAGCTCCTAAGTACTGAGTTACAGTTGAAAAGATAAACACACTATATTCAAGAGTTGACCTTTCTTCAACATATCCTTATCCTCCTTTCAGTGAGGAAAGGAGGATAAGGATATGTTTTAGGCCCTTCCAATCTGGCAGAAATGTCAGAAATGTAAAGCACATTGACTCTCAGTCTAATCTTCCAATTTTACTAAAACTCTTCTATGGTGGTAGTAAGAAAAAGAAAACTCTTATGTTTTGTTCATTCAGTCCTTCAGCCTGCAATGAACAGTCTACATTATTTCACTTGATCTTTAACTAAAAAGGAAAACCTTAAAGAAACACTTACCTACAGTGATGATCCTAAGCAGGGTTAGCATCCACTTCTTGTTAGCCAGCTTCCAGAAAGGAGTAATTATTAGGAGTGCTGGAGAAAGAGAGACTATGCCAAAAACTTCAAACCCAGTGAGCTCCAGTGTTTGCAGGGGAAAGTAATAGATCATCGGTCCTAAGTCATGGTAGAGAGACCAAGAAACATAGCCTACAGAAAAAGTTGAGAAGAGAGTGAGTTATGACTTTAGCATTGTTTCCAACAGTGGCTCTCCACTCCACTGCCAGCCTCCTTCCTCCAGTTTAACTGGGTGCCATAATTGGGTACCAGTAACAGAATTCCTTCCCCATTGGTCAGGCCCTGGTTGAGAATGACTTCCTGCTGTCATATCCCCTGTCCATACTCTGTTCATTCTTTAATCATGCCACATTCCTGTAGATGTTTCCTTTAGTTAGTTAAGTCCTCTTATCTTGATCATCTGAGATGATTCTGGCTTCCTGTCAGGACCCTGATTGATAAAATTCCCTTACCTAAGTTGACCCATACACATATAATGTTAAATATTCAAAAAATCAAAAAGAGCAGTTAACAGCAGGACACCCCTTCCCACCCCAACAACTACATCCAAAGCTCTGTAGTTAGGCAATAATCATTTTCTTGCAAGTAGATCATTTAAAACTAGCCCTTAAGAAGTGAGGCAGGGTGGCTGGAGAACCCCCATCTAAAGTCAGACACACCTCTGCCAAGGACTTTGTACAATAATGACGATTAACACTCCTGGGTGCTCACTAGGCACTAGGCTCTGTACTGGGGATTAACAAAAATCACCTCTTTTTCATCACACCACCTTATGTCCAATGGCATGGAAACCCTTTCTAGTCTCTCTTACAAATGCAAAAACTAATTAAACAAGGACGAGACAACACAACATATAAGCAAAATCCTGAGACCCTGGTTAAGATGCAGAAGTACTAAATAGCCACGTGTACTCAGACCCAAGCAATCTGTTTCCACATTTGCTCTCTTACCACTAGATGTGGTACCTTTCTCTCAAATTACTTCTCAAACTCCCTTTCTTAATTGGCAGAGTTGTTAGGCTTGAATGAGATGAAGTACCGAGTCCTAGCATCAGAGGTAACCTACTCCATCTCCCAACTTACAAGATACAAGGCGGAGCAGAATCTGAGGCTCTCCTAAAAGCTACCAGCTCCCTGAAAATCAGGCATTCAGGAGGGCTCCCTGCCAGGCCAGAAAGATCCCTGTTTGTTAATGAACCCTAGAGAGGTGCTAGTGATTTCCCAAACGTCAAGGTACTCTGATTTAAATTATATAGTTCCAACAGAATTACACTAGTAAGTCCTTGGTGCTTTTTTGCAAAACTGGTAACTGAACAAACAAGACTCCAGTCGGATGCTTTTCACCAAATCCCCAACCATCAAGGCCACTTGGCAACTCTGCCCGGGATTCACCTACAGTCCCTGGGGAAACCGGTGTCCTTTTCCTTGGGAAAGGTAAAGTTCAGTACTGGTTAAAAGTTAAAATTCACGGGTGGGAGATTGCGGGAGACTGTACAGGCTATGCGAATTCAAAACCAACACCTGGTGAATCTGCGCGCCTCGGACGCCATCCCAGAGCTGCGTGCGAACTCAGAAAGCACCCTCTTCCGCGGGCGCCTCGCCGAATTCTCGAATTCCCGGCTTTGGAACCTCAATTAAGGTCTTGTCTTTTATTCCCTTCTGCAGCAAAAGTTCCCAGGGGACGATAAGCATCTCCATTCTGGGCATGGAAAGCGCTCTTCTCCCTGCCCGACCTCAGCCAATCGGGTGGAGCGCCGCGGCTCCAGGGAGGTCCGGGGAGCAGGCACCACCAACACGCGGGGAGGACAGCCTCGGCTTACCCAGAAGGGTCTCCAGGAGGATTTCTCTCCACAGGGAGGGCATCGCCGCCACGCCGAGGGGAGTGGCGCTATCTAAAAAACGCCCCCTGATCCAAGCTGTCGTGCGCGCCCTGCGCTCCCCGCCAGCCGCCGCGTCCTCCCAGACCCGCGTCCGCACTCCAACTCCCCTCCCTGAGACTACTGCCCGCTGGTTCGCCAGGCTCCCTGCCGGCGTGCAGATCCGAGGCGGGGTGGAGCCCGGCTAGACGGTCCCCTTCCCGCCACACCCAGCCCAGCCTACCCGGCCCGACGCCACCTGTGCGATCTGCGCGGCTGCGGGCGCCTCGGGTCCCAGCGCCGAACTGGCAACGCCGCCGCCTCTGCCCACGCGAATGTTAAGGACGCGAGTCCCAGTCCCCGGACCTACGGACTCGGACCCCGCCATAGGGCCAGAAGCGCTGGAGCGCTGCCTGCGTGCAGGAGGGAGGGAGCTAGAGCAGCTCCGAATCTGTGGTGTCCTTGTTGGAACCAGTCCTACGGGGGTGCGTCGCTAGGAGAAGGCGGAGAGGAAGGCTGGAGACCCAGATGGGGCAGCCTGAGCTGGGGAAGAGAGCAGATGAGGCGGCCTCCAGTGCTTGGGGTGCCTGATGTGGCCACGCGCTGCGAACCTAACCTTGGCGTTCCTAGTAGTCTGCGCTACTTTTTCTAAGCTTAGTCAGGAAACGCGCAATTAGTTCACTGCGTTCTGGAAGGGCGGCCAGAAATTTTAGCATTTGCAGGATTTTCTGACCTTCAGAGACGCTCCACCACTTGCTCAGGGAAGAGAAAACATTCGAAGAAAATGGGCCTGCCTGCTTAATGTATGAGTAATGGTATTTGAGACCGTCTATACGTAAAAAGGTGGCAGGCGTTTCTAATTAATGGAGCTTGTGAACTAGGCCAGTTAGTTATTTCTTTCTCAAATATTGCACCCCTAGATGTCTTGAACTTACTGGAAGAATCTCCTCAAGGTACTTTATTTCAGTTCATTTTTATTTATCTTTTTTTAATATTTATTTTTTAGTTTTCGGTGGACACAACATCTTTGTTTGTATGTGGTGCTGAGAATGGAACCCGGGCCGCATGCATGCCAGGCAAGGGTGCTACCGCTTGAACCACATCCGCAGCCCCAACATTTTTATTTTTTTAAAAGAGCTTATCATTTATCACTTTTGGAAAGTTTGTTCTGAAATTTAACAAAGATGGGATGCCCAAAAAGTACGGAGTCACTTAAGCAATTAGTGCTATCAGTTCATAACAGTTTTGAGCAAAGAGTTCCTAATCACCTACTTACCTGTACTTTCAGCCACAAGTAGAATAATATAGATTAATTTAGAACAGAATGGAGAGTCCAGAAATCACACTCTTATCTAGGGTCAAATGATTTTATACAAGCTTGCCAAGACAGTTACATGAAGGAAAGAATAATCTTTTCAACATTAATTCTAGGATAACTATCCATTATGCAAAAGAAGAGAGTTGAACCCCTACCTCACACCATATACTTGTCAACTCCAAATGGATCAAAGCCTAAAATGTCAGAGATCAAACTATGAAACCATTAGAAGAAAATATAGAAGTCAATCTTCATGATCTAGAGTTAAAACAATGAGTTCTCCAAAAGCACAAATGACTAAAGAAGTAATAAATATATTGGACTACATCAGAAATTAAGAGCTTTCTTTCTCTTTTTCTTGAAAGAAAATGAGTTTTGGTGAGCAGCTGTCAATCTCTGCTATAAGAAAACTAAATAGAGTTGTTTTAGGGTTTAAGTAAAGTACTATAAGGCACACCATTTAATACTTTATTTAAGTAAAGTACTATAAGGCACACATTCAACATCTGTGGTATTCACAGTAGTTAGGAAGTGACAACTAGTATTATTATCTGTATGCACCCCTATAATGATTGGACTAATCACATGGTAGGTCTTTAGGACACATTTGACAAGTATATTGACAGCATCTTCATCAAGCAATCATTTTTAATTGCCTTCTATAGACTTTCTAACTCATTCTGGCTTTTTCCAGTTACAGAGACAAGAACAGCACTCAGTATGCCAGGGGACTCCCCTTCCTGACCTTCTCAAAGAGATAATAATGTTTCTTTTGTGTTCGAAATCTTTTTTTTTTTTTTTTTTCTGATTTGCCAGTTTGTCTTCTAGGGGCACATTGTGGGAAAGTTTGTCATTCATTTCTTTTGCGGGGAGGGCAGAGGATGGACACTGGAGATTGAATCCAGGATCATTTTATCACTTAGCTACAGCCCCAGTCCTTTTATTTTATTTTATTTTTATTTTGAGACGGGGTCCTGCTAAGTTGCTGAGAGTCTCACTAAGTTGCCCAGACCATCCTCCAACTTGTGATCCTCCTGCCCCACCCTCCTGTGTAGCTGAGGTTACAGGCCTGTGACACAGTGTCCAGTTTGTCATGATTCCTGATGCTTTCCTGTGTAGCTTATAAGTTTAGTTTAAATTTCTGTTGCTATAGTAAGTTAACCATGAAGTTACTTTTAATTTCATTCCCAAATGTCATAAGTTAAATGTTCATATGAAATTTTAATCATCTTGCTCTCCACCACTGAGTTTCATTGTTATTTAACTACCAATATTATATAACATTTATACCCAACATGTAGGAGTTATTCTATAACTGATGAGATAGCAGAAATATTCAGTATGATCTGCCCTATGAATGCATCCATTATATCCAAGTTTAGTGCTACTACCTTAATTTTCATATTTACACTCTGCCTGGTTTCAGTTTCAAAGGCCATGGTCTTTCGTGTTTGTTGGACTCTCTTCTTTGACCTTGGGTTGCCATTTGCATTCTTATTTTACCTGGATATGAATGAAGGCCCTGATGGCACTGTCCACCGCCTCCAACTCCCCTCCCTCTTGGAGCATGAATACATCAAGTTCAGTCAGAACACGTTAAGACTACTTTTCTTTTTATTAGAAGACAAGAAACTCTACCAAGAGATAATACTTCATGATATAATGAAGACCTTCTGGTCTGTTAGTGAAAAATAGAAATTCTTTTCTTTAAAGAGGTAAAATAAGAAACCCCTTTACGTCATCTCAGGCTCACAATTATGCTCAATTTTTTAAAAGCATCTACTTTAGGAGAAGCTAATTCATACTTTACAATGACAGGGGTCTGTTTCTCCCTAGTGTCACATGTCCAGCTGAAGGAGCTGCCTCTACCTCATCTCTGCTCACACTGAGCAAACACGGGCTGGGAGTAGAGATCAGTGGTAGAGCACAAGCTTGGCATGCACAAGGCCCTGGGTTCCATCCCAGCATGGAGAAGCAAAAAACAAACAGAAAGCCCAGTGCCCAAGCCAATCTCAGTGGGTAATGCTATGATTCAGATAAGTGTCTTCCAAAGGCTCATTTGTTAAAGGTCTGGTCCCCTAACCCCGGAGCCTCTTGGGAGATGTTAAAACCTTTAAGAGAAAAAATTGGTGCAAGGTCTTCTGGTCCCTGGGAGCCTGCCCTTGCAGGGAGCGCTAGGACCCCAACCCTTTCTCTTCCTCTTTCACTCCTGGCTGACCACAGCTTTGCTCTTCCTGGCTTCTCCACCATAATGAGCGGCCTTGCCACAGGCCCAGAAGCAATGGGAGCAGTCAGCTATGGACTGGACCCTCCAAAACTGTGATCCCAAGTAAAACTTTCTCTGTAAAAGGGGGATTATCTCAGGTATTTGTTTCAGACAATGTCTACAGAAAAAAGACAGGAAGTGTTTTGAACAATAATGTGATCTATTGCAAATCTCTTTTTTTATTAGCACTTTGAGTTTTAATTCATAATTGATTAGTAGGCATTTAGTTATTATCTCTTCTTTTCTTCTGGTACTAGGGATTTAACCCAGGGGCTCTCTACATCTTAAACCCTTGTTTTTATTTTTTTATTTTGAGACAGGTTTTCACTAAGTTGCATAGGCCGGCCTTGAATTTGCGATTCTCAAACTCCCTTGTCGTTGGGATTACAGATGCATACCACTATGCTGGCCTAGGTTATTATCCTTGATGACGTGTTTTTGTTTTGTTTGCCTAATGCATTTAGAATATCATTTCATGGCATTAGCTGATTCTTTCACAATGTAAATTTTAATGCTTAGAACATAATTCCACAGTTATGTACAATCTACTTAACCATTCCCCTTTGGAAACCTGTCAGGATTGTTTTGTTTATTGTAGCACTCCAACTAGCTCCCTACCTAAAAACTATGAATACTCATTACCTGTGTGGGTTTTTTAACTTTTATTTTAGGGTTTTGCCATATAGTTCATTTTTTAAAAAATGTGACATTTCTCCAACAAAATGAGAGAAGTTATAAACTTCTCTAAGTAGATGGTCCTTGACTCTGTTTTAGCCATAGTCTTCATGACACCCCCAGGCTTTGCTTGAGATCAGACTTCAACTCATGACTGAAGGAATGGAGTATGGCTTTGTGTGGCTCCCTCTACTTTAGACAGATAGGTTTCCTTCCTTGACTAGGAAGAAAGTGGAAGCACTCCACAGCACGGAAGACCAGCTACCAAACATCATGCTTATCTTCCTCTGTTCGTTGTGCAGAGTTGTTACTGGAAAGTAAAAGTAAAAAGTAAAGCCAAGGCCTATGTTTCTGAGCTCCCTTGGCATCTCCATGTGTCTTGTGTGATTGGTTCTCACCAATGTGACCAGAGTGATATGTGTCGCTTGTAGAGAAGGGGGCTAAAAACCACTGCTTTTCTCCCCTTCTTTCTTCATCAACCTGTAAAAACTAAGGCAGAAAAAAAAAAAAAAACAAGGCAGAGTCACAAGAGGAAGGGCAAATAAGTGCTTCAACTGCTAGGAAGAGGGCAACCAGCCTCCTGCAGGGAGCTCTGACTTTGGACTATTGGGTGTGAATGTGTGAAATCACTGCAATGATTCGGTTCATTCATTCTGGGCGAGCGTTGCCTTCCCCAATACACCCTCCATCTGGTTTTCCCCCAGGAGTTAAGGGCATAAAATTTGAAGGGTCTGCTGTAGCTTTCATC